AACTACAATATATAGTTAAACTACATTATTAAAAGTAGGTTCTAATCCATACCCACATATGTACATTCCTTCATGTCTTCATGTATTTACAACTCATATAATATGAATGCATGTACTGCTAATGTTTAAGTCATGACCTCATTAATTGAATTGTATATTTTATATATTAATAATTCATGTTTTAATTTTAATACAAAAACAAAAAGAAAAAACCATTATTTTTTATATTTTATTTTATTTTCGATTCCCAGTTGGACTATAGAGCAAAAAAAGGAAAAAACGAACAGCTTGAACCAAATTAAACTAAATTGGATCTAATATTTTATTAATAGAGCAATAGAAAAACAAAAAAAAAAAATTTCCAAGAAATTTTGGAAGGAAAATTTTTCTATTTTTTTTTTTTGTACTTTCTCAAACCTTTTCCATTTTTTTCTTTGTGATCTAGGTCAAGTCATTTTTTGCCTATGATAGTAACTAAGAAAAATATGAAATAAGCATTAAGTATTGTTGAGAATCGCTATCAATATTTAAGTATGGTCAGTATAATTAAAAAAAAAAAATTAAGGATTTTAATTTAAGGATAAATTAAGGTTTTTAATGTGCTTACAAAAAATATGAGAGAAAAAAATTTTTTTTTTCGATAACTTGAAAATTACAATTTTTGTATTCGATTTTATTAAGGGTAGTTTTTTAAATATGTGCCAAGTATAATTCAAATAATTATTAAATTAGAAATTAGGTGTTATTAAGAAATTATGATTTCTGCATGTATGCATGATGGAGAGTTTCTATTTATTTATTTCGTTGTGTCTAAAAAGAAACTAAACTGTTCTCATAAAAGGTCTACATATTCTTGAATTTCTCTTTTCAGTATGAGGACATTAAGAAGTTTTCGATCATTATTAAGACTGGTATAAAGATTAATTGCTATTGATTAATGTATTGAAGTTGAAATAGTGTACTGTACTATTTATCACTACTGTGTAACAAGTTCTTGGTTCTGGTATTTATATGAAATGTATTTCATTCCTTTGCACCAACATAGTCGATGATTTCTTGAAACATAATAGTTTCTTTGGCAGTTGTACATCATCCATTTGGAAATTTTACCCCAATTTCGAAAACCGTGAATCAGCGTACAAATATATATCCACAATATCAATCATATTTTGAATACTATCCATATAAAGGCTAAATATCAAACCACCTAGTGTACTACCTTGAAAAAGACCCAAGTTTAAACCCACACTTCTGCTATAAATTTAAATCAATTCTTATAAACTGCAATCTATTTTCTTTCTATATGAGAAATTTTTAAATTTCCTGTTTTCATATTTCCGGAAAGGACTAAATCATAAAATTTTGCCATAAATTTTTAAAATTCAAAAAATAATTCCTAAAACAAAATTATTTGGACGCGCTTTTTTTTTTAACCTTCCACGGTTGTTTGATAATTTTCGTATATACATACTAAATATGCCGCTACTCTTAATTAAAACATGTTATTCAACGCTTGTTTTCACCACATTTCAGCCGATTTTTCTGACCATTCCCCTAGTATAAAGCATATCTATAACGCTATATCTTCACAACCTTAACGGCTTAACCCTAGTTACAGATGATTTTCCTCCCTGCAAATCTTTAGACGTTTTGAACAGGCTGACTAAAAAAATTCTATTTTGTAGCAATTCGTTTTAGAAGAGGAACAGGGACAAGATTCTTTTCCTCTTTAGCTGTTTAATATCCCGCCAACTATAAAACGAGAACATTTTTTTTTTTCTGTATTCGCATAAACTTTTTATTAATATTTTTTTTTTCAAATTTTTATTAAATTTATTTTAAATTAAAAAAATGATTTCAAGATATAAAATAAAATTTCCTTATAAATTTATTATTAAAAATTTTAAAAACAAAAAAAAGTCGTAAAAAAAAATTAATTGGATTAGATCACTTATAGCAACATTTAAAGACTTTTTTCTAATTTAAATACAAACAAACTTTTATTGCAGCACAATATTTTCTCCAACACTGTCAACAACAAAAATAAAAACACAAACAAAATTTAGGTCGAATAAACTGTTTTGCTACTGCATACTTATAGGATGAGAAAATTCAATAATAAAAAAAAACAAGCCAAACAATTACAATCTCTGACGTAATTTCTACGAAAAATTTATTATAAAAATTGTTATATAACTATAATTTTTATATTTCTATTTAATTTTATGAAAGCAAATGTACAAAACCAAAAAAAAAAAATATAATGGGCTCCAAAAATAATAATGTCTTTATTGTTATTAACATGCAATTTCTGTTTTTTTTTATTATTGTTTAACCGTATGGCATACAATATAAAATTATGACACCCTAAGAGGTCATGACCTTTCTCTATTGAAAAATTATTATTATTACTTATACGTATAAGAACCACATGAGTTTTAAATAAAACTTAAACAGCCCATAAGTTTCACAGTCATAAATTGCTATATAAATATAATTTAATTTATTTTTCATACACATTAATGGAGTAAGAGCAGAAGGAGTACAGAAAAGAGAAAAATAATATGAAAATTTTATTTCCACCACTCTGTGAGTGGTGATAATAATGAGACGTTGAGTCGAAATATTTTAGGAGACACATTTTGCCTACTTCATATTAACGGTAACACAGAAAAATAGTCTAAAATAATTTTAAAAATTATTGCTTTAATATTCTTATAAATATTTTTTATTTACCACTTTGATTTCGAATATTAAAGAACACCGTGCAAAAAATTTACTTAGCGATTCAGGGCTCACATGGGAAAGTGAGGCCTAGAAGGAGAGGCTACTTGGAGGATTAGTGGACAAATGAAGGAAACTTCGATGCACCTTCTCAGTGGGTGTGAAAGAAAACAGCAGTCTCTGGGTGGTTACGTCCTCGGAACAAAAAAACTGTGAGCAATCGACCGCTTTAATCCTGACAGATGGAAAGTGCGGCACAATACATCAACTTCTTGGGTTGCAGTGCATTTTAACCTCACCTAATTTAATTTATAGTAAATATAACAATAATTCTATAGTAAAAAATTTAACCTTGCCTTAGGTAAATTTTTAACAGTTCAGCTCGATAACCAAGTCAGGTACCCAGTATAACAAATATTCCGCATTTATATATTGAATTTTTCCAGCAAACAGTTCAAGTCAAGTCCTCTGGGATCATTGTAGTTATTTATATATGTATATGAGATTGTAAAGTTGAATATTATTATTAAGAGAAATTGTTAAAATGAAAGGATTGATTTTCTGTATATATACATATAAGATTTCTTTGATATCGCAAGAGGAAGACTATACAGATAAAGTCCTTAAAAGTTTATTGATACTAAATAAAGCAAGCAAACAGAAATTGACATATTTCGGACCATATATTTTTTATGTATTCAGAAATATTATAATGCATTGATACACATACATATGTGTTATATGAAATAGAACAATGTAAAATGCACACAAGCATAATGTGACATCGTTAAATAAAACTTCATTCAGTTGCAAGAAAAATAAATAATTTCTTTTGATTGTTTTACGGATTACACTTGTCTTGTTTATGTCTAGATAATCTTTATACATATATCAAGCAAAGAAAAATATATATATATATTTTATCGCCCTTCAACCAACGGCTTTCAGAGTTTCAGTAATAGAAATCCGATGATCTTAGAAAGGTTTTAGGTGTGAAATATTTTTATTATTTTTACTAGTGAGTGTATGGTTAATTAGAAACATATGTTTAATTATTAAGTATAACAATATAATATTAATGTATGTGCAACAAATCTATTATACAAATATAATTGAGTGAATCATTTAATTTGGTATACGTGTTTGTAATTCGCTTAATAACTAATTTGAAAAATAAAAATCACTTAAGGGTGTTTTTTTCTAAATCCAATTATCCAAGAGAATTGCACTAGGACGCTGATTTCATCATTCCAGAGAATTTCAAAATGGCAGGATTTTTAGTTGGATCCCGTGGAAAATGTTCCATATATAATGGTTTACTTATGGTACCGGTGAACGAAATCTTAATGTAATAATATCAGGGAATTTTAAAATTAAACAAAGAAAATTGCTAGAATCTACATTTTTCCAAGTAATTCAATCACTTCACCTCGCTACGTTAGATTTCCTTGAGTATATTTTAAGGCATAACTGACAACTTACAAACTATTATTTAATCCTGAATTGTCTCAAATTTTGCAAATATAATTATAAAATGACAATAATATCGATAAACCCTAAGGTTATTAAAATTAAACAAAACTTCATCTAAATATTTTAAATTTTTAAATTCCGGAAGACTTCAGCAGCAGATTGAGATTATTTTTGTCATGTAATTTGGAAAAGTTAACAACAAAATTATTTTTATACGATGAGAAATTTTTGTTTTTAAATAATTTCCAAAAAATATTAAGTTCATTTTCCGAAAAATTAATTTCCACATGGATTTCCACTACAAAAAAAAAAAATTAAACTTTAATTCCAAGAGGAAAGCATGTTTTTGTTGTTTTCATATTTCGTACATTAAAATTTAATTGTATTGTGGGTATTTTAAAGCTGTGCAAACAGAAACAAAAGCAAAAAAATGCCAACTAATTTGCAAAGTTTTTAATTCTTTATTACTTTTTTTCATTTTTAACTCATTTAACTACTTATGTTTTGCCTTAACTTTGTTTACAAAGCATATACTGAAATATAGAAGGGGTTAAAAGTTGTTCCAGCAATTTAAAAAGTTTTTATGACAAGAGTTTATGGTTTACAATTCCAGAATACGAGAGTGAAAGAGAACAATAAATGAAGAAGGAAACAGACCATCCCAAAACCAAAAACGTTTCGGAATAAGGAAGAAGAGGAAGAAGTTTCGCGAGAATTTTTTCAGTAATTATTTAACTTGATAGTTTTGCACTTCTTCACTTACTTCTATATACTAATTACTTAAATCTAAATAAAATATTTACCGTATTTCCATTTTCCTGTACATGTGGTACAATTTTATCCTTTTTCCTTGGACTAAAATTATTATTATTCAATGATTTAAAACCGATTCTACGACCTAAAACAGTACGATGTGTTGGCTGATTTGGTGTTATTACTACTGGTGCTGGTGATATTATTTGTCCTGTTATTGAATTTATATTCCCAGTTGAACTAGTAGATGACGTTGATGATGTTGATGAAAATGATGAATTCCCATGTAAAAATCCGGAAATAATATTTCCACTATTGCTATTATTATTATTGTTGTTGTTATTATTATTACTGTTATTACTTGTATTGTTTGTTATTGTAGAAGAACTGTTATTAATATTTTGTTGTTGTTGTTGTTGCTGTAATTGATTTTTATTTAAACGTATTTTACTTGGTTTTGGCGAAGGACGTTGGCTTTTTAAGAATCCTTTAGGACTTTCACTATTTAAATAATTTGAATTTGTTGAAGATGATTGTTGTAATGGTGATAATGTTGCTGATGATGATGATGGAATTGAAGAATTTTTTGAACCAAATAATGATGATAAAGCTGATGTTGAATATGATGTTACAATACCAGTAGTTTTTGTTTGTATATTATTTGAATTGGATGATGATGTTGTTGTTGTTGTTGTTGTTGTTGCTGCTGCTGCTGCTGATACTATTGATTGTGTTGATGCAGAATTTGTCATTGATGATGACGATGTCTGTGATGTTGTTGTTTGCGTCGTCGCCGCCACCGTCGCCATCGCTGACGACGACGCTATCGTTATACCCATTGCTTCTTCTCTTGTTTTTGTTCCAGACGGCGATAAAGATGATATCGATGTTGATGACTGTGATGATTGTAATTTTGTATTCGAATTTGAATCATTTTTATAATTTTTTGTTTTTGATATATTGTCATTATAACTAATACTATTAGGAATATTATTTTTTTGTTGATGTTTTGTTGTTGTAGCTGATGATGATGATGACGATGTTGATGATGGTCCTGTTATTGTTTGTAATGTTGGACTATTATTAATTGTTGTAACAGTCAATGGGGCAATTGCAGTCGCCGTTGTTGATGACGACGATTTTTGAAAGACCGATGTGGCAAAACCATTTGCCGATGGTGGTCCATCAGCCCCATGGACCGTTCTCCAACGTCGAAATATTGTTATTCCAATGATGAACTTTTTATTAGAATAATTTTTAAGGAAATTTTCAAATATTTTTTTTTTTTTACAAAAATTTTATTAAAAATTTCAATTAAATATTATTGACATTTTTTGCAGATGTTGTTGATGTTGAAAATTGAAATCGAATAAAATTTTTGAATATTTAACCGTAGCCGGTTTGAATATTTGTTGGTGAGTATTTGTAGAATTGCAGTTTTGTTAGGTAGGTTTCTTTCAGCTAAATAGTTACTGTTCCTTAATTGAGATTTCAAATTTTTTTGTTCAACTTAAGCAGTTCTTAGCAGAATTCTCTTGACGGGGCAGATTTCTCTTACTATTTCCAATATTTTCAAAACTTTTAACTTTATTATAAGATTTAAATTCTTCAGAAAAATTACAACTATACTTATGAAATTACTAATTCTTTTAAAAGCCACAATATTTACAATAGATTCTTGTTTATAAAGTATTGCACTATGATATGTCACTTTAATTTTTGGATGTAAAACTATAAAAATGAATTCATTTTTAGAAAAATTCGATTGCATAGCATTTTAAAGCATTTTAGTAATATTAAACCGTATGTTGTAGCAAAAATTTCAAACGAAAAATTTTAGGATTAAGTTTAAAAAAACCATTCTTTTCAAATTTTTTAGACTCGTGTTTTTTTCTAATTCCAGTAAGTTGTAGAAAACTATATTTTCAACAAAAGCCGTTTTGGTTTTTTTTTAAATATTCAAGATGATTGTAAATGCTGGGAAACCTTAAGTAATTGTGATGTCCTGTAATTTTGATATCCTTTATTTGCCTATTATTGTTTTTTGTACTTGTTCTTTAAATAAATAAACTTAAAAATTGTTTTTCCTTTTATAACATCATAATTTGAAAATATTCGACTATTACCGATTTTCAATCTATTACCGACAAACACTAAAGACGTACTGAAAGGTTTTCTTTAAAAAATTGAAAAAGGAAAACTTATAAAAGAAAATTTTTCTTTTGTTTTCTTTGTTTTTTTTTTTGTTTTTTACCCCTATTTATAGCGCAGAGCTTTAAATACTGTGAATTTGTGAATTACGTAAATAAAATATAAAAGTACATAGTTATAGATGTTGTATATACGTATAAGGGAAAAAGCTTACTCTATAACAGTTAATGATTGCAGTGCAAAAAAAAACAGTTAAGTATATAAGGTGGAGAAGAGTTTTTTTAAGAGAATTTTTTGTCAACAATTTAAATATCCTGTATAACTATATGTAAAAATGTATTTGTGTTTGTTTATACAATATTGAAAATAACATATGATAGAAATGTTTGTATATAACCAGACAGATGTGTATGTTAGAATAATTTTTTTTAATATTACACACACAGGCCACAGTTAATATTGGAAATATTGTACCATTTCGAGAAAACAGTCTGTGTGTTTCAGGTCCAATTATAAATTGCCTAATTAGATTGTAGATTGTAGATTTGTACAACAGAAATAACAGTCCGCCTTGACTTCTTTTAAGTATTTATTGTAACCGCCTTCTAAATGCGAGACATATTCTTACAGGGCCAACTCGAGATCTACCTTAGCTTTTCGTACATGCGAAAGTATCACACTCTCATAGAAAATGTTTTAAGGTTTCCTCATCTCTTCCTCGAGAATTCTCACCTCCTTAGAAGATCCTTGGCCTGCTACAATGTAGAAGATTTCTTCAGTGCTACGAACGCAGGCCTCTTTAGTTACTTTGGTAATAATCTTTCAGAAGATTCTTGGCCTGCTACAATGTAGAAGATTTTTTCAGTGATATGGCCCCTTTTTATTTAGTAACTTTCATAGTTCCCAAAAAACAATTCTCTGTGGATCCTGTATTTCACTCGCGACGTGACTTTAGCTGAGTCACAAACCAATATCTTATCTACCTACTTAACTTATTTCCGATGAATTCTTCACAAAAATATCTCAATTAATAATTTAATAATTTTTGAATAAAAACAATATCTGCCCTAAATTTTTTTTTTAATTTTGATTGCTGTCTGTATGGTAAAACTAACTGAGAGCGGTATAGTAAGTGTAACGGCTAAAATATTGTGCTTTCACTGTTATTAACGTACACACATAATAATTTACTACTTTGTATGTATTTGTGAACAATAATTCTTAACTGAACAAAATATCCATCACTTGTCAAAAAATGAACTAATTATAAAGAAATATTTTCAAATTATTTTGATAAATTAAAGGATGCACTTGAAAGATCCTTGTTTTTGAATTCAATATGTGCATATAAAGGTAGATGAACATGAACATATGTACATAGAATAAAATTTAATATATCTTATAAAATATACTGTTATACTTTATTATACGTAGATTGTGTATGGAAGTGTTCATTACAAAAAATAATTGTAGAATTCTTGATTTCATGTTGTTGTTAATAATGTGTCTGACTCTTTGGAATTTGTTTTTTTTTTAATTTAAAATTTATTGCATATTTTTTTTTATATTTCGGAACATTGTATATTTACCTGACATTTTTATATCAGAACATTTCTTTTTTGTGTAGAATAATTTATGGAAATTTTTTTTCTCTAACTAAGAAAATATTTTAAATTGCCAGTTGTTGCTACAAAAAACATAGGGTTTTTTAATATATTGTCAGATATGCAGCCTGATTTGAGAAGTTTTGTCAGATTACACAATATTTCAATAAAAAAAAAATTGTCACAAGTTAAGGAATTTAAAAATACTTAAGAAACTGTTCAATATTACATTTGTATTTGTAAAATACAATGAATTATAGTTTGTTTTAAAAATTATATATTGCATAAAAGTTGTATGGTCACAGAGGGACATGAATTCTTATCAAAAATTTTACACATATGCACACATTCGCATAATGCATATTTAAAATTCTACAATATAAAATAAACTTCTTATAAATACAAGAAAAAATTTATTAAAATTTATATGACCCTAAAAGTATGCAATTTTTTGACATATTATATTTTATTATTCCCTACGGTTATACAAATTTTAAGAATTATTACAGCAACTTATAGAAAATTATACCAAAACATATTAAAATTATTATATTATATAAAATTAAATATTAAATTATTTATTTATATACAGTAATACATAAGTCTAATATATAAATTGAAAAAAAAAAACAAAGAAAAAAAATTAAGGAAATGCAAATTTAAAACTGCATTTTCTCATATAAAGCAACTATTTAAAAATAAAAAAGAGAGGGAGAGACGTAAATGGTTATTAAAGAGAAATGAGCAGTAACGTACGAAAATATACCACGTTTTGCAACAATAATAAAATAAAATGCAAGAAAAATTTAAGAGAGAAAACAATATTATGAAGAGAGTTTAAATATATTAGATTGAATTGACTTTTAAAGAGAGAGAATCTTTACTTTTCATATAGTAGAAATTTTATATGCAGCAGAATCTTATATCAATGTATTCATGTTCTCTTATAATATAAAGTTACATATACATATGTTTAAAATTTAATTTATATATGTACATATTCTTCTATATAAAAATGTACTTTTTTATTGCTCATTTAAAACATATATCTATTATTATTATTATTTACTGTATACATAAAATATTTTACATATTAAATACATATAGTATCTAATATATTTGTATGTATGTACATGTACATAATAGAAAAAAACAGATTTTGTCAAGGTTACAGTTATTGCAGTTTTGCTTTATATATTATGTGTATAAGTATATATACATATGTATATGCTTTATAATTAAATATTGTGAATGGTAAGTTGTTCCTGTTCCCATTTTTTTTAAAACAATTCTACTTAAATCCTTCAAAAACAGAAAAAATCCAAACTGCAATGCTCTTATATATTGTTTGGTATTTTGTTTGATTTTGGTGCGGAATAAAATTTTTGTTATTGTATCTAGATATTGAGGAAAGAAATATAATTTTTATGACAAATATTAAACTACAAGGCAAAACCTTTTGTGTATGTTGAAGATCTCGCCATAGTCTACAAGGGAACTACTTTGACCATCTACTTGAACAGAATATAATCAGTCATTGATAACAACTTAAAACTGGCGGTTGCATATTAAAGAATAAATTATAAATGGAATTTTCGGACTTATTATGGTAACAGAGCCACAAAGCCTATATAAGGGCATCTTTATGTTATGGAATATTTCAAGCTACTGTCTTATATGCCATACAGATTTGAGGTAATCCTGTCAGAAAAAACAGAGATATTATATTACCACGTATTCAAAATAAAATAATAAAAACTTGTTGAGATATGAAGTACGAACTCCAACAAGAAAGATTTGCGACACTCTTAAAGTATTACCGTCGAGTTTGGCAATTACCAATATACACACACAAATGTAACATCTATTATGAATAGCAACATTCATAGCTACTTTAACAGAAATTCGAGCACTAAAAGAGTGTAGAAATAAAATAATAAAATATCCTTGTTCAGTTACAATAAAATTTTCAATATTTTAGAAAAAAAATTTCATTATAATTTTAATAATTCAATCAATTTTTTTAAATAAATTATTTTGTTACTAGAATTTTCATAGAATTTTCAATTAGGTACATATACTTTGTATTTGTGTATGTGTTTTTTCAATTAAGTCTATATGTACACTAATTTTCCTATATATGCGTAGTAATGTTCTAGCATTTATATATATTTTTAAATTGAATTAAGTTTTATATACTTATATATAAATAGAAATTGTCAGACAAAAATAATATGTACTGCAATTGAACATACACGCATACATATACGAAAAAAGTATGAATAAAACACAGAGTAAAAAAAATTCACGGTCAAAAATCAATATTTTAAAATATATATACAAAGTACAAAAACTGTAATTGTACATGTATATATATACGAAATAAAATAAATGTAGCTACTGAGAAAGAAAGAGAAAATTATTGTTTTTTTGTTTGTCTAAAAATGCAATAATAAGAAAAGCTCTTTTATTTTTTATAGGTTTTTTAACCCATTTGCGTAAAATGCTAATGTGAAAATATACATAAGTACGTACGTATGTGTATGCATAAGTAATTAATTATATGTATTTAAAATTGTTATACAATTATACGTAATAGTAAAGTATAAAAGGAAAATTTTTATGAAATATTTTTTTTTATAATAGAAAGATTTCGGAAAAGAATATAGAATTTTAGAAAAAAACTTGCAGTAATTGCTTACATAATAGTAATATATAACTATGAAAACGACCATACTGTTTGATTTAATGTTTATAACACCAGTAATAAAAACTAGGCATTTACTGCATTAAATATCCCAACGTGATTTCAAAAGAATTCAGAGTTCAGTAGATCATTTTAATTTCATCTAGTTATGGTGGTTTTACTATTGTTATAGACTAATCATACACATTGTGCATAATCATAAACTATACTTTCTTGCCCCGAAATATATGCAATTTTTTATATTGTTTTAAATACTGAATTAATAAAAAGCATTGCAATTCAGGGAACGTCAGTAAATTTTTTTTGTAATTTTTGTAATTATATGCAATAAATCAATTTTCAACAAATTTTCAACCATTGTAAAATTGAAATTTTCATGTTATTTGTGATTTTGTTTAAAAAATCTTGTTTATTTTTGACGTGCGTCTAATGATTTATTGACATTTAAGGTAACAAAATAAATTGCTATAAACGTATACAACTGAATAATATTAAATATGTGTGACATTCATCATACTTTACAGTTATTTTATTCCAAAATAATTTTAATATATGGTTATAATTTTAATATTTTATTGTATTTATTATGAGTTGTGATATATTTTGAAATTGTGCAAAAATTTTTGATTTTGATTAAAATCCAATGACCCAAAAATAATAAATATTTTTTAGAATATTATGCAATTTATTTGA